AGCAGCAGTAGTAGTAGGAGTAGAAGTAGTTTTTGTTGCTGGTGGTGTGGTGCTACTGCTACGACAACGACGGCGACGACGATTACGACTACTGCTCCCGCTCCTACACCCACTCCTGGTCCGACTCCCACTCCGCCTACCCCTCCCGCTCCCTCCCAGTGCTGCCACTACGACGAGTACCATCACCTTTTTTTAATCCTCTTTACATCGTCAATGTCGTGAGTACAAAGGATATGCTCAATGCTCTTCATCTGGCTCGAGGAGGTAAGTGATCTTTCAGGACCGGCGTAGTGTGGATTAAAGGATCATGACGAAGCCTGACCTGTAGGATATTTTGGGCAAGCCTCAGCTCACTCTAACCTTCCGGCCTCCCCTGGGGCGCGGGGGCGTCACGGCGCTTCGAGCCCAAATTGAGGCAGTAGCTTGTTGCTCAGAACAAATTATAACTTCAGTGACTTGCTCCTCGAGAAATCTCATGGACTCCAAGCTGACCATTACCACTGTCGTGCAGCTCCTGTGCAACTGGGGATGCGGGCTTGACTTTCCTATCTAGCTGGTCCTTGTTGACGATGCTGATACACAGGTGCGCAAGACCGACCCCTTACGACGGGGGCGTTGGTCTTCGGGGCAGGTTGAGGGTTCGGGTTCGAGAGCCTGCCGACTTGTGCAGTACAGTATCTCCCTGCCACTTCCACCAAGTGTTAAACAGCTGTGAAGCAAGCCATTGTTCTAGAGCTAGGAGTTGCCCAACACATGAAACTTCTAGCCATTCCTGATAATTGTCCGACGAAGCCTGCGTAACCCATTCGGCCTGGCGTTTCTGAGCTCTTCCGCGACACTCCGGCTGTCAGCACCGAAGAGGTCGTTTCCCCAGGTTATCACCGATCCATTCGATAATATCGCAGCAAAGGCCCCGTAACTAGCCTGGATCTGCTCCACGTTCCGTAGAAGTCGTTGCACCTTGCTGCTGTCGGCACCACGCTCCGCATTCCCCCAGGTCACCACTCTCCCGTCCTTCAAAATAGCTGCGAAGGCGCCAACTGAAGCTGCCAACTTCCTGACGGAAGGACGAAGCTTGGGTTGCACCGCCCTGCTGTCGCCACCATTTCCTGCATTTCCCCACGTAACCAAGGACCCATCCGTCATCGCTGCAAAAGCGTAGCCAGTCGCTGCGATCTTCTGCACGTTGTGCAGTTGGTCTTGGACAGAAGAGGTGTCTCCTCCGTGGTCAGCGCTGCCCCAGGCAAGGACCGAGCCGTCTTGCAGAGTGGCCGCAAATGCTGCGTTGGAAGCTTCGAGCTGCGACACACCAACCAACTGATCCTGCACCCTGCTGCTGTCACCGCCCTCAGTACGAGAACCCCAGGTGACTACTGAGCCGCACCTGAGAATCGCAGCAAAAGCTCTGTGGGTGGCCCGGAGGCTCTTCACATCCTTCAGTTTTGACTGGACCTCTGAGCTCTCTCCTCCACTGTATGGGTCCCCCCATGTCACGACAGCCCCGGTCTCGAGGACTGCGGCAAAGGCTCCATAAGATGCGCAGATCAGCACAACCCCTTGCAGCTGTTCTTGCACCCCACTGCTATCACCACCAGCAAAAGCTCCCCCCCAGGTTGTTACCGATCCATCCTCTCGGAGAGCCGCAAAGGAAGCAGCAGAGCCCGTGATCTCACACACGCCCTGCAGTGCAGGCAACCGGCTCCTTCCCCCACAAAGTGGGTTTCCCCACGTTACTACGGATCCGTCCGACAGAAGGGCAGCGAAGGAGTAGTCCGTGGCGTAGATTTTCCTCACACCTTGCAGCTGATCCCGAACGCCACTGCAGTCGCCTCCCAAATCATCATCACCCCAGGTTACCACGGATCCATCGGACCTTAACAGCGCAAAGGCACCAGTCGTTGAAGTTAGCCTCAGCAAGAACGACACACAAAGCACACAAGGAGCTTAGAAGTCACTGAAGACAGCAATCAGCAACCGCATATAACTGCCTCGTTCAGCTTCTACATCGTCGCAAATACAACCTTCTCGAGGCACGAAGACTGCCGTGCCTCGCCCCATGCCAAGAGGCTGGTCTGAAGGCAAAGCAACCGCCTGCAGGGTGTCTCCCTCCTGAAGGCCTCAATGCGCAGAACCCATCAAAGCATGAAGCCGCTCCGTTTGTCGACCTACAGCTTCAGACTTGCTCAGAAAGACTGGACATTCGGTTTAAAACGCACATCGCCATCTTGAGAAGCACATTTGCGCACATTTTCACAGGTGCTCCCAGAAGTGGTAGCTGCTCCTTCGACAGCTGCCGAGAAGCCGGTGTCTGCAAGCGTCTTCGCAACAGGTAGCAGACCGCCTGTCGTGGTGAGTTTAGTGCTTTTCTCTGAGAAGCGATTTTGTGTTGCGCTTGCCCTTCGATGTTTCCGGAACTTGGCATTTGCAGAAAACGTGACACCGCAGAATCCAAGCCCTCTAGCATCCCACAGCCCTTAAGAACATCCACAACCTTCAATAGCTTGGAGTTACAACTCTATACACCTAATGGTGCTAGTGCGAATCAGCACTCATGGATAGAAAGGCCGTGTCAAATTCTGCATGTACCTCTTCTGCTGGCATCCTCATCAACATTCCTTGCACTGAAGCTCCGAACCCTCAGCTACTCGATGGTATCCGCCCAGGACCCACGCTCTCCGCTCCCAACCCTGGAACCCGCAGATTGCCACAGGACTTCTTACATGCTTCGAAGTCCGAATCCGACAGGCCGAAGGTCGAAATCAACTCCAAGGCCGTGCCAAGGCCGCCAGAGGCGACTAGACCAGCTAGGCGCAGCCCAGACCTCGCACCGCGCACATCAAGTGGCTTAAGGCTTCGGGGTTGAAGCGGGCTCAGTGTCAGAGGAAAGTGGTGTAGCAACACAAAAAAAACCATTTTTTCCGGCAGCCGAGACGCCTGTCTTGCGCCAGGCGTTGCAATTCGTCGACGGTTGAGTCCAGGTCCACCGAGATTCGCAGGCTCCTCTCTCACGTGAAGAACCAGGTTAAGCCAAACAGGACTACCTCAACAATGTAGCTGAAGCTCTCCGACATCCTTTGCGGTGCTTCGCTAAGTGCTGGCGAGCGTCTGACCGCTCAAAAGTGCGACGTACACCGAGATCGACATTGGCTCACAGCCGCGATGTCGGAGTAAGACCGTCGGTTTCGAGGGTCATGTTGAGGGTGCAGCTTGGGATGCCCTTAAAGCTCTTGCTGCCGCCTCTGCACCGAAGCAGGGCAAAAGAAGGTGCATTTCGAGCTGCTCAGACGTCAGCTACAACCTTTGAGCCGGCACAGGCTATAGTTGAAATGATGTGATGACGCAGCATATCCGCATCTTCAGAAGGCAGTTTATAGGGTGTATATATATATATACATAATATACATAATATATATATATATATATGGCGCAACAGCTTCAGCTACTGATTCTCGATTGGCTGCCGGTACGTACACCTTTGGGATGGGATGCAGGTCTGTGCAAATCCACACTCGGCCTTGTTGCGGAAACAAGCGGGTGCAACCACCACAGCAGAGCCCGAGAAACTTAAGACTTTTCAGCGCAGGGCCTTTTCTTGCACTGGTCTTGCCCGAAGCCTGTAGAACTGTTCCGCAAGCACGGGCTGTACCACTCAGCGGTGCTTGATGTGCGCTCAGAAATAATGCATCCACTCCTGCTGCATGTGCCTGCGGCACGGGACAGGGTAAGTTTTGCGTTAGCGCCCAGGTCTGGACTGTGGGTTTCAAGACTCACGGCATCACAACACGAGAATAATCCGACACACCAGCGCCTATCTTTGGGAAGGTTCGTCATCGCGCACCTTGGGAACACGGCCATGATGTGCTGGCCTGATCTCCATCACCTGCGCATTCGTGTCATGTGCCGGTCGTTGACGTGTCGCGAGTGGCGGAGCAGACTGGGGGGCGCCGGCAGAGGAGACTATGTAACCAGTGCACATGCGCTCGTGCTTATCACTCTCTCTCCATTGCACGCGGGCATATGTGGCCACACCGCGAATTCGAAGCGGAAGCCCTCCAGCTGTGTTCATGGAGCTAACGCAAGATTCATGCCAGTGCATCTGTGCAAGGATGGAGGCAAGAGACCATTTGCCGCAACTTTGTGCAGGCAGACAAAGGCATCGCCATCAGCGATAGTGCTTCACTTGATGTAGGTCGTGAACTGCCAGCTTTCCGTCCCCTGCCTTCCAAGCTCGCATTCACCAACAGGTCCGGCGGAGATATGCTTGAGCAGGAAGCACTGACCTCCATGGGCATCAAAGAACACGTAGCCACCGCAGTCGTTCCTCAAGTTGAAACACTGGTGTCCACAAGAGCTTGGGGTTCCTTGGATCCCTTGGTACTGTTCAAGCCCTCCATTCCAAGCACCGCGGCCGTTGTAGCAGTTCACGTGCTTCAAAGGGTAGAAATGGTCCAGAACCCAATCCGTGGATCTCGGCTTCTTGACAAACGTATCGAATTGCCAGCTTTCCGTTCCTATCTGCCCCAGATCGCAGTCAGCGACGGGATCTTGTGATATCCACGACAGCAAGAAGCACTGCCCTCCATGGGCGGAGAAATGAACATAGCCTTTGCAATGATCCATGTGATAGCAGTTGTGTGCACAATAGACTGCGTCCACTCGCTTCCCTTGTTCATGCTCAAGCCCATTGTTGGAGGCACCACGACCGGGGTAGCAGTTCACATGCATTACTTGCCAATACTCCTGCAGGATGTCGCTTTCGTCACCCCATGAGCTGGAAATCATTTCTTGGCTGATTCAGACCAACCAGATTTGGGGACATCTATCAACATTGAAAATGGAAACAGACCCTGGACAAACGGTTTCCAAGAGGCACCCAAGACTCCGAGGGTCGCTCCGCAGCCGGCCCGGCTTCCGCCTCCTTCGCCTTTGGCGCAAGCATGTCCCTGTCCTCTAAGAGATGCTCCCCAGCCTTCTCGACCTGGCACGAACATCTGGTAACTACAACTGAGGGCTCGTGAGTGCAACAATATGCGTTGCGAGCACGCCAGCAAAACGTGCATCTACGTGTCTACGTCTACGTCTTGGGAACCCTTCTGCAATCTAAGAGATAAAAAGTCCAAGTCCAGCCCAGCAACTGGATGGCTTTGCAAAAGGCAATTTTCCTCAAGGGCAACCGCGACTTGAAGCAATGCGAGCCACACCATCATCTGCGACATAGAGACGACCATGTTGCTTGCGATAAGCTGCGATCCAAAACGGCTGCAGACTGGACTGCTGCACCCATGGCCTGAAGAATTCCAATCCAAGCACTTGCCTGCAGATTTTCGGTCTGTTGGACTTTAGCAGGATCTGCCGGGTTAGGGTCCAAGCGTCAAGCGCTACAGTAATGGACTGTTCAGGTACTGTGAGTTGGGAACAACATCGGCACGCAGGCCACTGGAGATCAGCTCGCCTGCATCATTCTCGCCACGTGCCGCGGATGTCCGCCGATCTTGCGCCTGGATTACATTATCCACGGATTTTGGACCGGAATTACGGAGAATCGAGTACGCCAGACGTTACCTCTTTCTAAGGATGGGGAGCTGCGTCATTCCCCATGTCGACCTGATACCCTCGCACATGTTGTAAGCGATCTGAGAAGCTGACATCAGTGAGAGGCTGTCCATGCTCTGGGTGTTGTAGCAGCACGGGGTTGAAGGTTCGTCGCCCAACAACCGAAGCCATCCACGGTCTCCTATCGAAATGATGATCCGCGTCATTGACACTGAGAGAGAGAGAGAGAGAGAGAGAGAGACATCGAGACAGAAAGACAGAGAGAGAGAGAGAGGGAGCGAGAGCGAGAGCGAGAGGGAGAGGGAGAGAGGGAGGGAGAGGGAGAGCAAGGGAGCGAGGGAGGGGACCGAACCAGCCAAAAGCCCTCATCAAGCTCGAGCCTACGACTTCAGGACGGCTCACAGGCATCTGGCAGGACCTCTCGAAAAGACGAAGAAGCTCGTTCTTGCTTGGCTTTGTGCATGGGCAGGCGAAACCCTTCGACTTCAAATCCAACACGGTGCGAATCCAAAGTGTAAAGCGCGGCATGTGCTAGAGACAGTTCGCACAGGCCACTGAGCTGATCCAGGCCCGAATTCGAGTCAGGCAAACGGATCTCTTTGGAACTGCGAAAAACTTCCGGAAGCGAAACTCATGCCCCCCCATCCATTGAAAAACCTGCGTATTGATGGCATCACATGACTTCGCACTACTCGCTGCAAGAAATCGAGACTTGCTCCGTGCCTGACGCGCCTGATTGAGTGGAACCTGTCATGCTGCCGGCCGCCAATATTCACTATGATGGGCGTTTAGATGTTTCGGTTCAACTCTGCCCGCAAGGCAATCAGGTCCCTAGCTTGGTTTTGCAGGTAGGTACACAGGAGGAAAGGCACTCTGTGACTCGTCTCGAAGAGCAGGATGTGATCTGGCACTCTCTGGGCGAGGATGTTGCAACACTACGACCAACGCCACTCTGCTTTGCAGTTCAAACTTGAATGCCCACATGCACTCAGCATAACCCAAGATTCATTGTTTTTTCATATCTCCTCCGTTGTGGCGATCACTGTCTCCAGTCTAGTATTCACGCCCCTGCCTCGCGCTCGTGCCCCGCAGTGTCGTGCTCGTGTTGCCTCTTGCCGTCCCAGAGGATGCACCTCGAATGAGAAACAGTGGGCGAGGAGTCGGGAAGCTACCTCCTAGTTCGTCGCAAGTATCGCGCTCAAGTACACGAACTGCTGAAGGGTTTCGTGATCGAGCTTAGCTCTGTGGCCGAATCAGCCTACAGAATCGAACTTTCAGCCATGCTAAGCCCCGACGTTGAGACTGTCGGAGTAGGATTCACTACAACGAGCATGGAAATGCGAGTTGTGCAAGGCCTCATCGAGCTCATGCTTGCGACGTGACGCTTTGTTACTTGTTTTTCTGTGTACCGGAAGAACCAGCTTGCGCAGACTGGTTTTGGATAGTTGGGGATCAGCTTTCGGCACTACTTGCCCGCCAGGGAGCAGCATACCAGCCACGACGCCTCAGCTTGCGAGGGCAGAGATATGTAAGACCGCAGTACTACTGCTCACAGTCGTAAACAACAAGAGCTCGCAGTGCTTTACATGACAACATGAAAACAGTAACGCAACCAAACCCAGACTCATAGCCACAACAAGCAGTAACTAGTACAACTCCAAGTGCGAATCCTCATCGCCACCATCAGATTCTTCTTCTTCAAGGTAATGATGATGACGCCCTCTTCAGTACGTGTGAGGGTTTGGGGCTGTGATGCAGTCCGGATCAGCAAATCATCGTGCGGTGTTTTTAATTGTCTCACAGTGTCCCAGGCCTATAGCTTGGAGTTCTGATTTCTGGGCATTCTAGCCTTGCCGAGAATAAAGAAGTATGACATCTTCCATAGTGTCATAAACTGTCTCACGTAGCTGATGGAACCCTCAGTTGCAGAAGTCCTGAACACCTGTCTTTCTGATGTACCAAAACAAATATGCCAGGCGCACGCCTGAAAAGCAAACAGCTACCCGTGACTACCTCTCGAAGCTCGAACTAAACTCCAGACCCTCTGCCTTAAAAACCCGGGAGCTTCAACATCGAACGCTCCCCTCCCTTCGATTCAGGACACCCAAGCCGCCCAGGGCATTCCAGCCCGGAAGGCTTAGGGACGGGAAGTGTCCCGAGACCACAAAGGCAGCAGTGAGGACCTGGGGCAGCGATCTACAGGTGTATGTGTGTGTGTGTATATATATATATAAGTACACGCATACTTAGATAGATGTAGATGAGGATGCATACATATAGATACATATGCTATTCTGGGATGGAGACAGAGTCAGAGACAGAGCTACAGAAGAGACAGAGATAAGGATAGAGATAGATATAGAGCTATATATATATATGGATACATATGAAACACCCATAGATACCTACCTGCCTACCTGCCTGTCTGCCTACCTGCACACATGCACAGATGCATGCCAGCCAGCGTCCTGGCCGTATACATGCATACGTATGTACATCCACGCATTTGACATGAGTTCCCGTGCGAAGGCTAAGAGGTTGCACAGCTCAGTCTCCGTCTGTACTTGTAAAGGGCTGCAGCGCAGTGTAGGCGAGGACGAAGCCGGCGCGAGCGTACCTCGAAAGCTCTTGGGGCTTCGGCGGTTGCGAAACTCACCGATCCGTGAAATCCCCGAGGACTCGGCACCATGCATCATTCAACGGAATCTGGCAAGAAGCTCTGTTGTGCCTGCCTCCTCATCTGCTAAACCCTCAGCCATTCGACTTTAGACTTGCCCGGTGGCCGATTCGCCCATGTAATCAAGAAGTACGCCGCCATGCTGTTGAAGAGAATCCAGTACACCCTTGGAGGCGCAGTGCACAGAGCACATCGGAGGGGCTCGAGGTTAACAATGAGAAGGATTCTCACGGTGATAACGATAGCAACAACCGAAGCAACAACAATCATGGTCATGACAACGATACCGATACCTGATCATACGTTATGTGCGCACATACCGGAATTGCTGTATCCTTTGGCAATGACCGCTCAGGAAATTGTGACATGACGACATGTGGGGGCGTCGAAGGCTTCTACCCAGCTCTGATGCAGCACACATCCCGGCAAATAACGCGGGCCTGTGCACTGCAGAGATTAACAACGATGATAGAAATAGCGGGAATAAAGTTCACAATTATCCTGATACGTGTCCAGGAGCCATTGATGCCATAACCGCCAACCGAAACCGGGATTCTGATTTAAACTTGGGCTCAGGGACTTGACTGTGTGGGCTCGTATGCCAGAACTCCTGCATCCGTCCCATGCCTCGCATCTGCCTGTGGGTAAATGGACGGGCACGCTGGTTTGGTCGGCTGATTTATTTGAGGCTTCGAGAATGTGCAAAATCTAAACCATGTCAAGCGTCAACGGCAACACGGCCTCCGGCGGCACCGACCAGGCGGTGCAGGAAGTCGGTTTTGTTCCTGGGTTTGCAGTTAGCGTGAGCTCGGCTTCGGATAAGATGTTGCGGGGCAGTGTAGGAAGCAATATGATGTACTTTCTTGCCAGGAGCAGCACGCGGCTAAGTTTGGCCGCTCCGTTCGTCTGCTCGACCTTTCCTGAAGGCCTTCGCTAGTGTGACTGTTACTACATGACTTTCTTCGCCTGACGCTGTTACTAGTACGAGATACAAGTGCTTTTCCACTGTGTGCCCGTGCTCCGTACTCATATATGCTCCCTGCCACTGAAAGATTCGCATTACCAAGCAGCACACACCCTCTCCTAAAGACTGCGCAGCAACAGTGGTGCGAACCAAGACTGGGAAGAAAATGATGGCTTGGCATGGCTTGGCTCATGGGCTGTGTCCTGCATTGGCGTGCTCCCAGTTTGCGGCAAGCTAATGTTGACACTACAATTTTCAAGGCCATGGAATGCCAGAACTGAACCGGACAGAATTGCAGAACCGAGTCCTGCCTAGATTTCGAGGAATCCGAAACGAAGGACCGGAGGACGATGGGATGGCACTGCGGCACCAGGAACCGAGGAGAGGACCGATGTACCAGAGAACTCAGAAGACCAGCGGCCTTGCTTAGTCCACCAGACCCATACTGGTGGGAACGACACCACGGCACCCAGGAAATCACAACCCCGCCGACCGAAAGCCCGAAGCATCCACCGTGGAGACGCGTACATGTTTTGACGTTCTGCTTGTCTTGACTCTAGAGCACTGAGGTGAGAGGACGAGCGTCCGGGCTTCATCATACATCATGCTTGGCGCAATTTTGAGTTTTGGTACGAGGCTTCCATGGTTTACGATCCTAAATGTGTCAATGCCGCAATGCTGAACCGTCGAGTGGCCGCACTGCGCGGTGCTGCCCACATCCGGCGGGCACACAAATTCGATGAACCAGCACTGGGTGTTCAGACCTGGAGACAAGAGCGCCCAAATTTTCGAGGCTCTTGGCAGGAAGGCTTGTGGCTGGGATGTTCTGAAGTCAACGCTTTGCAGCCGGCTAGATGTTTTGCATTAGTATTAGAGACAAGGCTTGAAAACATGACGACGGTAAGCTGTGCTCGGGTGAGAGGCTTGCAGCCACAACTCTTCGCTCCTTCACTTTCCATGCAGGTCCAGACAGAGAGATCTCACTCATAGGTCGGCACAGAGGTCCGACAGACTCGCGGCCGCGGGTGAAGTATAGAGGATGAGTTCCTTGCTGCCTGCGGCGATCGCCATCATCACAGAAGCATTGATATAGGACCTGAGGTCGCCATATCTGAGAGCACGCAAGTGCTCATTGGCCGCTAGCGCTGGTATACGATCTCATCCAATGATGCTGCCAGTACAGTAGTTTTAAACCGACACGGTTCCTTGCTCTGCTTACGGAAACTTTCCGAATCTGTCTTCTCTCACAGTTTGCCAGTCGCAGCGAAAAAGGACAACATTCTCAAACTGCGCATTCGCGTTTCTAGCAGAAGGCCAGTGGGCAACGAGGAACTTTAAGCTGTGCCGTGCTTCTGACACCATGCACCCTCGGGCCCGAACCACGCCGTTATCGACAGCGATGGATACCTCTGCAAAGCAGTGCTTGGGGCCTGTCTAAGGTTCCGACCAAGCACCTGTCCATGGCGAACTTTCCGAGGATGACCTGGCTCGGGAACTGCAAACGAGCTGCACATCTCCAAGGTGGCTGTGTGCCCGACGTAGAGCGACGTGCCCAGGCAGTTCAGCAGAAGCCTTCAAGGGCAGGTATCAGGAACTGGATCTGCAGGGGATGCGTCGGAGTCATCATGCGGTCCAAGACACAAGATGTTGCCCGCAAAGCCAGGGCTGTGAAGAGGCTGACCGTAGCAGATCATGAACGCGCCTCTCATGGGACTCCGGGCGTAGGTGTCTGGGAGTAGCAGGTGAGGCGCCAGATTGAATGTGGAACTCGCGCAATGCGCGTTTTCTTTCATACCGACATGGTGGTTGTCTTGCTTCACAGATCAACATCTACAGACTGCAACGACTATGTGTCCCTGATGGAGCCCAGACTCTCCGAAACCTCCCCTCCGACGGCAGACGGAATGCCAAGCTTTCACCCACAACACATCCCGTTTGAGATCCGTACCTCCGAGAAAGGAGACAGCGATGCCAAGCGTTTTCAAAAGCCTCGATGGATGCGGGTGGATTTGACAGCAACCTTCTGGAGGAGCCATCTCAGCCTGAACCCAACGCACTTCGAGAAAACCCGGGTGTTAGTCACTGTGATACCTCCGGTCTTGCATAAGCCGCATACAAAGCACCGAACATACCCGTCTGGTGTCGGAAATACAGTGCATCATGATATGTTATATTGACATGTGGTGGTGTATCAGAGGCTCTCGTGGCGTATTCAGGTAAATGCAAACAATAACGAATGACACGACTACGCTTCTGTACAATGCACCATGGTATAACACACGACACTCTGTGACTGTCAGCGGACTGCAGCAGAGCGGCGAAGCACCCTCCCAGCCCAGCGCCAGGCTGATCGACAACGTGAAAATGGGCTGACTGCACTGCCTCAGGTTTGAATTTGCACCCTTGGCTCGTATTGCGAAAGCAGTGCTAGCGAGCATTAAAACCCTAGCGGAGAGCATCGGCTTGCGAACATCGAACGCCTGCCTTGGTCTGCATTCTACGGGCTTGGCATGTAATGATCCAATGCAAGGCCCTGTGCTAATCTCCTGTTTTGGACTCTTGAGCAGACACTTTCTTGGTCTGTCACCAGGGACAGAAATCACCGTCGAATCTGAGTCTAAGTTGGACACCAGGCACTGCTGATCACGGGGCCGGCCAGCTTGTCGCCTGCGAAAAAAAACGGGGGGGGGGGGGGCTTCTCTCAGATTTCTGAGGATCAGCTTGGCCTAATCGGCCACCCCCTTCAAGCCAGGCTTTGACGTTTCGCTTACTTGGCTCTGGTCTTTGACGCAGGCACATGCACTTTCTCCAGTGAACACGCTGTAGCACAGGCTGTTCCATCTCCCAGACCCATTCAAGCACGTTTCGGGCATAAACCAGGACAAGGCACCGATGATGAAGAAGGCTTGGTTCGTGAAGATGCAGATTCCCATCCTACAAACACGTGGCTTTGTGTGAAACGGGACTTCGGCAGGCAGGTGACAAGGAAAATCTGTGGAGCGCTCTTGCTACTTGCTCTGCTTGTAGACTTTACTATTTAACTTGGATCTAACTCGAGCTTTGTTTTTGCATACTTTACTCGGCCTGCAAGAAACTGTGCACTTCAACAAGACGAGGCAGGTTCACATCCCTGGCGCTTCATGTCGAAAACACAAACACAGCATGCCTCAATGCAGTAGATATGGGGATTATTGAGCTGTCTGAGGTTGTGCTGCGCAGTGTCGATACTTGCATCGTTAAATTTGGCAGTTCGCCGACAGAAGCCTCCTTCCAGGTTGCGGTCGGGCCGCCCCGTGAAGAGCACCACGTCGCTGCGAAGAGGTGCCAATGCCCCGTCCAGGCACAAAGCCTTGCCAACATCGGCAATCAGATGTGAGGCTCTTTCTCAGCTGAAGCTTTCGGGTGGGGTCTCGGGGTTTGTTCCGAAAGACCACCCTGCTTCCCGGCAAGAACATGCAGGGAGACTTTGGTTTTCAGAGCTTGTGCTATCTTGCACTACGTTTCCACAACAGCAAAACCCGGCGATGCGTGTGCCTCCTCCAGAAAGCTTTGATCTGGAGACCCCATGGAAGACGCAAATGTTGCGCACGACTGGTGGAGGCTTGCCCGATTTAACGGGATTTCACAAAGCAAAACATGAAGTCACACCCCGAGCATCCTTTATGGGCCAGGCCACCATGGCCAGCAGTAGGGGTCCGGCGACTGCCTCCCGAATCCTTGGACACATCGCTACGACAAGGCCTGCGACCTTGAAAATTCGGCTTACCAAGAAATTCGACCTCTAAGAGCCCGGCAAAGCGAAAAGTAAAGGGTTGAAGCTTGCCACGCCCAGCTTTCCAACCACGGAGCCGCCTCCCAGTAGCCGAAACTGCGATTCCAAGAGCTCTCGGCTTCGGGCTGCCGTCCTACCAGCTGACCAGGCTGGCGTGGGTTTGGCGTTTGGACCAAGCAGACTTCAGGTGTCCACCTTTCTCAGTGCCGAAGCCCTCAACTAGGCACGGCTTCGAGCTCCAGGCTTCCAGGATCTTCCAGGGAGAGGTGGAGCTTCAAGCTGCTCAAGCTGCCTCCGAACATCACTTGGGCTGCGAGTAGTGCCGCATGTACCTGCGAGCATGATGCGACGAGTCTGGCTGGCAAATGCTGTTGGAGATGCTGCATACTATATCAAACGAGGGCTTTTCTTGCGGTTGTGCCCGCATGCTGAAATGGAGAGCGAAATGCCGAGCGGGGGTCACTCGGCCAGCCGACGGCCGGCGCAAGCCCATCAGGACATTGTTGCTGCGCGGTAATCCTGAGGTAGCTTTGGCGGCCTTTCGACGCTAGCTGTGGCAGAACCCTCTTACACATGTCAGAACCCACTGAGGGAATGTGGCAAGCCGTGTGGAAATGGTTCGATTGAACTTTCCACGAGCCAAGAGTACACGGCGAAGGAACATGTAGGAAGTCTCATCCCCTGCTATGCAGCATCTTCCGCAACGTCAGCAGCAGGAATCTCTGTGGTCATGCACAATAGCAGTATCAACAGAAAAGCAGCCGATCTCGACTGTGTTTTCCTCGCTCCCTCTGCACCAAGACGCTGCGGGAATGCTCGAACCAATACTTTTGAATCTTCCTAGAGGTGGTGTTGCCTTCTGCGCTGGAAATGCTACGGCTGTGTACTTCAAGGGGTGGGGATGATGCTGCCTGCCCATGAGCGTCCGATGCTTGAAAAGCCTGCTCAGTAGACGATGCCCCTGCATTAGCAGCGTTTGCATCCATGCCAGTCTACCAAAGCAACACTGAAATGTAGCCAAAGGCAACCATGTCCTAGGAGCACAGACAGCACAGCCGAGCCTTTGGACATGGTTGGTTCCACGCTTGCCGATGTCGTAAGGATACTGCAGGGAAAGGTTTGACACGCTCAAGGGTTCGGGATGGGTGTCTTGGGTCCCTCCGAGTTCCAGCTGGTTGAGCAGGTGTTGGCAGTGGCACACACGCATACTGGGAGTGCCTCCACCACATAAATTTCTGTCTACCTCCGATTTAAAAGGAGGCAACCATTTTGCTACATCCTCTTCATGAACATCCGAACCTTGTTGCATGCTATGCAGTTGACAGCAGCATGCCCTAGCACTGGCACAGCACCTTTCCCAAAAAGGCCTCTTCCAAATCAAACCTGCTTCGACCTCCGGCACAAGCGCTTGACATGCCCGCACCTTGTGCAAAGGTCGCTTGAACAGCCTGGCTGCGGCAGGTTGCAAACTGTGTGGGTGGGGCACATGCTGCGAGGCTTTGGGCAAGCATACCAGGAGACACCTGCAATCGCGACCACAACAACCGTTGCTACATTGTAAGACTTCTTACAGCTAGTCACAGCAGCCCGCTTGGAGTAAAGTGTGCCGGAAAGACTTGTGCACGCTGTCCTCGCCATCATCGTTCCACTGTCCAGGCAGCATGTCTTCAGGAACCCTGGGCGGCAAAGCTTTGAGAGGAAAGCAAGCACGTCTGGCACCTTCGACCGGAGCCTTGACATGTTTCAAGGACGTCGGTTCGAAATATTCAGACAACAGGTTCGCAAGCCGTCACTTAATTTCTGGACCTGCAACTGCTGGAGCATGCAAAGACATCGCAGGGTGCCCCGCATTAGGTGCCAACCCTTCAGTCGGTACTTCTTGTTCATCTTCATCTCCTGGCGGCTGCTTAGCATCTCGGCTTCAAGCAGCTGGCAGGCCTTGTCAGCTTTACGGAACAATTCCCGACATGGGGCAGGTCCAGGCAACGCTACACCAGGCCCTCGAAGTCTTAATCCTCGAAGCTTCTCATGGCCCACCTGCTTGGAAGGCAGCTTCTTCATTTCAGCCTCGGGCCAGGTGAAGGTAACCGCCCAAAAATCTGTGAACTCTGAGAATTGCCGCAAAACCCTCTGTGCGACTCGACATGCTTTTGCGCGTTGCTGCGAGCAGATCGGAGGGCAAGCAGAGTAAAGAGACGTCTCGAAGAAAAGCGGCTTGCCCACCCTTGAATCAAGTTGCAAGACTGCCAACCCTTGCAGCATCTTGTGTGATGCCCTGCACTCTCAACCACTCCATCCCGGCGCCAAATTCAAGCTTGATCAGGGTACATGATTTATCAATTCTGGTCCTCCCCAATCTTGCAACAAGACTTCGAAATAGCCCTAAGCATAGCAAAAGTTACAAGAAGCACATAGAAGCACACACACAACAGGCAAATCCAAGACCCATAATCCAGCAACCCCATAGGAAATAGCAGCAAGAGTGATCGAGTCGAAGTTGTCGGTGTTGTGGTTGGCATCGGTGGCCGTTGCTGTTGCTGGTAATACGAGCCGTGTTCGTCGTCGCGGCCGTGCTCGCAGTTCGAGTCGCTAGTGTTGGTGCCGTCTTCGGAGCTGACATCCTCAAACCGGATTAAAAACTCAACAAACCCGAATGCACAAGCCGATTCAATTCAAGCAAATGCCTCGGTGCCTGTCAGACATTGACAAAAAATGGAATACAGCAGCAGAGCACTCTCTGAGTCATGAGTTGGGAGCCCGCCTCTGCTTCAGTAGCTTTGTCCAGCTCCTCCGTCATCAAGTGGCCCTGAGCACAGCGCTTCTTCAAGAACTTGCTCTTAGCAGACAAACCCAAGCGGCTCAGGCTCTTCCTGAAAAAAGTTCTCACTCGACTGCAATCCAATGCAGTGGTCGGCGAACCCGGCAACTAAAACACTGGGACTACGAACCGTGATTGTGAGCAGCAGCTCCATCAGTAGCAGCAGTTGCAAAGGTGTGAGTGCTACCAGGACATGAGTGCAGATGGGGGGTAACAAAGTGCAGAACGAAAACGATGTGAAGATGATACTGCTCAGGCGAAAAAGGATGCTTACAATTCAATCATCGAGGTAGTGAAAATGATGATGACGAGAGTTTTGAGCTGCGACAATAAGTCGCATAGACCTGGTGTCATCCGTCTTGCTGGCAATACGATGCTGTACTACCACGATTGGCTTTGGTCCCGTGCATTAGATCATCTACTTGCTTAGCCGCCTAAGATTGCGGAGTGAGTGCGAACCCTCTACTGAAATCATGCACATGACTCAGCCCAGATCTCGCGCTTTTCTTGCAGATCCTGCTGACGGCTCATATTTAAAACCGTTGCATGGCTCGCAATGTTCATCACGAGTGCTGTTCTTGCCAATAGTTTCTGTTGACGCTGGTCTTGCTATTGCTGCTGCTACTCATCATGAACAGTGTTAGTGCGCAGTCATTGTCGTAGAGTCGTAGAGCGTAAGTCGCAGTGGTATCAGCTGCGACAACCCAACCGCCGCCGATGTTTTCGTTATCGTCGCCGTCATGGTGATGCCGGTCGTGGTGGTTGTGTTTTCTGTGATGGATTTATGGTCTTCCAATTTTCGGTGTGTTCTGGTGCTGCTGCTCCTCCGCCTCCTCCTTCCCCTCCACACTGCCGCTGCTGCTACTGCTACGACGACGACTACTGCCACGACTACGACGACTACTAGTAATAATGCCAATAATGATTACTTCAAGTACTATTGCTCGAGACTCGGACGAGCTTGGGACCGCCGAAGGGCACGGGCTCCGTGAGTCCCATACCTTGGTGTCACTGCTGTCGATGTCGCGTATCGCGTGCCGCTTCCAGAATTTCAAGCGATGCTGCTGCTGTTGCTACAGCGGCAGTGTTATTGTGACGACTTGCATGAATCATGTGAGTCAGCCTATTCCTGTTCTTGCCACAACTTCGCCTGTACTCATGCTCGTGGCTGTTGATACAGCGTAGTGTCGTTTCTATCGTCGCCAGTACTTCACCTGATTTCAGAGTGGGGGTATGTGAGCTGCTCCATGTGTGGGAGTTGGGCTCCGGGAATGCACAGCTTGGTGAAATGCCAGACAAGACATAAGACTACACAAGGGCCCATATGTAGTGGCTGGGATTCCTGCAGGACTGGCGGTGAACTAAATCCACTTCTTCACCAAGTTGAGGATCCTGCTGACTATGACTATGACTATATATGAGGGCAGACACGAAGACTGTGTGAAGACGTCTGCGAGGAATATCGAGAAGAGAGACTCGAGGATGGGTCAGATACGTCATTGCCGCAGGTGTGATGGAAAAGCCACAGGCGACGAATGCCAAGAAGCAGCCGCTAGGGATATATACATGCAGAGGTGCAGAACTTTTGAAAACCGTTGTTTCAATATGCTCTCTTTAGCGCATAAGCTTTAGCCTTCCCACAGCATCCCGTCTTCACACACTACCCGAGGCCCCAACGCCGGCCCTCCGTGCGCATCCACTGCTTCCACGCATCTTCGAAGGCCCTGAAAAGAGACATCGGCATGCGGTGCGGGGACAGAGAGTGCTGCTGGTCTTGCAGTCCTTGGATTCTTGAAACTGTGTTTTGTAACGGCGTGGATTCCGGCAAATGAACTCTACAACCGGTTTTCCATGGGTCGCGGTATGAGGAAAGCTCATCAAGGGTCTCGGGGACCAAGCTCCAAAGTGCCAAGCTTGGCCGGGCTCCGAACTCCTTCTGCTTTCGAAGCTTTCGTCGCCGCGCCAACTGGCACAGCTACTCATTCGCGTCTCACGAACATCGTGGGTGTCGCAACAGCTCAACTTGAAGACAGCCGCACACGCATGTTGTAATCGGCTCGCCATTTGCCTCAGCTGCGGGGCCTACTTGTGCTGCTCGGGATTGGTCTTAAAAAGACTTCGGAACCCAAAACTTCGTGCAGTCCAGTTGCGAACCATGAACTTGGGTCGCCAGTACTGCTGCCTGCGAAGCAAGCATGTGTATAGCCAAGGACGGGGATCAGCATCAAGCACAAAACCACTCATGCAGCTGGGAAATACTCCAGCTTGATCCACGATGAAAGTCACTTCACATACATTCATACATACATACATACTCAGAGAGATTCAGGGAGACAGACTTTTACATTGCCAAGCCCGCTTGCATTCCTCTGGCCACCTTTGAACTGTGTGTAGAACGGGAAAAGTCTTTCCTGAAGTACTCCATTCCCGAAAACAGTATCAGTCAGAGATTTTCGGCCGCGAGAGGGCGCCAAAGGTTCAAGC